CACACACACACACACACACACACACACACACACACACACACACACACAGTCACAAGTTATAAAACACCCTCATTTTTCCAGTTTTTTAGTTTGAAAACCAAGCAGCTCAAGTCCTGTGAACAATTTCAAAGTGTACAAAGGTGAGCTGAATAAGGGGTTTAAACAAAACGTAAGGTTATCCAAAACTAAACGTCAAGGTGTCTGTGAAGACCCTGTCATACCATGACATTTTAGACAACTCACGCCAACTTATGAAATGTTTTTTTCCCACTAAATGACTAATAAAAGTTAGATATTTGATCAGTTTGTTAGCATTACAGTAAAATAAGCCTAACATAAGCCTCCAGTTGATTTTTAATTCCATCTTCAATCTAGATGTTTCCAAACTTCATAGTCATATGTTGACAGGGCCTTGAGTCCCATCAGAGTTTCCTGCAGTTTCTGAGTGCACTGTGATGGTGAAGGAAACCAGACTCACAGACACCTCGACTTTCAGTTTTGGGGAACCTTACCTTTGTTAAACCTCTAGCAGTTCAGCACTTACCTTTGTAGCTTTACAAGCTGTTCACTGGACTTGAGCTGCCTGGTTTTCAAATTAAATACATGAAAAAATTACGGTGTTGTATAACTTTTTGCCAGTAACGCATCCTCTAAATACTATAAACTACAAAATAAGTTACTCATTTCAGATTGCTCATAGCATATCAGTTCACCAAATTACAGTAAACTATTCTTTTATGTTCAAATTTATACTGTATCACTTTTATAAAAATTTGTGAGGATAATCAAATAGATTGACCAGCTTAAACCATATTTTATTTATTTTTAGACCCTGMGTGGCAAGAAGTACTTTTGACGTTTAAAAGAAGCCCTTCATTGGATTATAACATTTTATTTGTGTTTCTTATTTAGCATACAAAGCATTTCAAACAGTTGGGATTGCATCTGGAAGAATGAGACTTYCATGTGTTAATAACGAGCACACCTGCGGCACGTTAATTTAATGAAGTAAACAATTGTCACATCTACTCATGCTTTAATGATGTAGMAGTGATGCTGATAAGTTCATTAATCTCACTGTTTTTTTTTCTGCTACATGAAAGTGTCTAGTTTTCTGGCTCCAACTCCAGAACCACACAAATGTTTAAAGTTGATCTAAATATTTGGATAWGTCGAACTTGGTTTGAAGGCCTCTGATCCCCCTTCACCACGTATGACAGGAAAGGATGTCAACCTCGACTGGCCCCGACATGTTTTGTTATCACCTTGAACCTGAAGCGTGAGGGGTTTCTGCATGGGGAAGGGGTTGAAAAGTGTGGAAGCAGCGGAAAAGGTGGAAGAGAGATAAGATGCACGGAGAGTGGGTGTGAAGAGCAGATTGTGAAAAGAGGGTGGGAGGGAGAGCCAAAATAGGAGACATGGTGATGCAGAGTGATATGTCGTCACACAGGAGGGGAAAAAAGGTTAATCCATTTAAAGTGCTGCATATGATCCCAAAAGCTGCACAGCGATGATAATATCTCCACAGTGCTGCATATACCTTTTAGGCAACGTCACTGGAACAGCACACAATTACCCTTTTGAATGCATTGTGAAAGTCACAGGAAGCCTGGAACTGTCTGCTCATAATGAGTTACATTTTGACAATATGTAAGTGTCTGCTGAGGTCRGCTCGAACAAGAAATCATGAGACTGGAGCATTAAGATAATTAGATTAAAAGCCCTATAATGGCTTTTGTTTAGGTTAAAATTAGCCTAATGGTTGCTCACAGTAGCACAAATAGCTGCAGCGCTGATTAAAAGAACATGTGTGATTTCCCAAGACAAGGTGAAGTGATGAGGGTTAATAGCAACCTGCAGTGATACATGTGCGTTCTTTCCAGGACTCCAATTGCAGACAAGCAACAGGAGTAGTGTTGATATCTATAGATCATTACTGTGATGCAGACCGTGGCCGGTTCCTATGTGTTTAATGGACGTGAGGGTGTTTGGACCATTAGGCCGCTTCTTTACAACCATCTGGTCCTCTAAAGAAACTCGTGTAACATCCGAACATCGCACATCATTATGGCCTTGGCCGAAGCTGAGGATGAGGGTGTGCGGGCGTGTGTGGAAGTGTACGCTTCAAGAAAACCGAGGTTAGCTCCCGGTCGATGATAGAATCTGCAAATGGACACCACCTTTTGCAGCAGGACAAGTCATTTTAGCAGCCTAATGGAATTTTGCAGCGCTGGAATACAGTGTAGAGGGAGATATCACTTTGTGCAATAGGAAGCGCCGTGTGCTGTGGTGAATCCTGATATTTCTATTTATTCACTCCTGGTGGAAGATGAAACTTATTTTCGGGTGAGGTTAACACAGATGAGATTGCCAATATCACAGGCAGAGCTCGCTGGAAGACTTAAAATTCTTCCCTAAAATAACAGCCGGCGCAGGTTTCCAGGCGTTGAACACATTCATCGAGTCTGACATTTGTCCAGCACTGCCCGTGTCTTCAACTGCTGATTTACAACCACCTTTTGCATCCAAGTACCACGTTTAATAAGTAAAGCTAGAACGCGTAAAAAACAACAAAAAAAAAACCTTCATTAAATCATCAGCCATTAGCGACTGTGTGTGTGCTTTAACAAAGGCTTTTCCAGGGGACGTTTATGTGTGTTCATTTGGCAGTGTGAATTTTTAAGGAGGACTTTGGAGAGAGAGCAGAGGATCAATAGCCTTTCTGTATACAAGTTCTGCTCTAAATCATTTCGCACAAGCCTAAAACTTTCTGACAGCGCTCATAAAGGGGGTTAAGAGCAACACTGTGGATGCTGGGATTAAAATAATAATTTAAAAAAATTTCCATCACTGCCAGGTAAACAGAAAAACCATCAGCCAGGAAAATAAACATGTTGATATAAAAAATAYGTTGTAAAGCTTAAGGAAAAATGACATAAGAGAAGTATTGGTTTGTCAATGTAATGGAAAACAAGAGCGAAATTCAAATAGTTTGCTTCATGACAATAACTCTAATCTAAAGAGAAATGAAGGAGAAGAAAGACAATTTATTTGTGCTTCTTGTATAACCGCAGAGAGAAAGAAAAATTGACATTCAAACATTGTTATAAAAATTGCTTCAGACGTTAAAGGGATCCGCGATTAGTTGTAACATTAAACTTTATTTGATAAACATCTATTTTAATTGTAAAATAAAGATTGTAAAAATACTGTAGGCTGTTTAGTTTTGTAAATTTTTTAAAATATATTTTAACACGGACGGAGCCATTTTATTTACACGCAAAGCATTCTGGGTAAATGATGACATCAATAGGTCATCGGTGCGAGGCTGCTAGCGAGCTATGTCCACCCTGAAGGTTAATCTTGGGCAATATCTGATGATCGACTCTTTTAAATGAAACCAGAGAGAGTTGAAAGGGAGGAGAAGGTAGAAATGACTCAGCCTGTAACTGAAAATATGGATGGAGGACAACAGAGCTGCTTCATGGAAGAAAAACCTCAGCTAAGCCTGTTAGCCTTTGCGCTAGCCCTCACGCTATATTGCCTTATATGTATTAGCTTGACGCTAGCGCGACAAACAAGCTAAACTAAGGTCCTCCATCCATATTTTCAGTTACAGGTTGAGTCATTTCTACCTTCTCYTCTCTGTCAACGCTCTCTGGTTTCATTTAAAAGAGCCAATTGTCAGATATTGTCCGACGTTAACCTTCAGGGTGGCTATAGCTCGCTAGCAGCCTCGCAGCAAGGACCTAGTTGATGTCATCATTTACCCAGAATGCTTTGCATGTAAATAAAATGGCCCCATCTGTGTAGCATATTTTTTAAACTTTTAGTTTAAAAATAATAAAAACTGAACATCTTACAGTATTTTTACAGTCTTTATTTTACAGCTAAAGTATATGTTTATCATATAAAGTCTAATGCTAAAACTAATCGGGGATCCCTTTAACATTAAAGCCCAAACATGTCTGGTTTCTGTCGCTTTCTAGAAAAACATAGTTTCTTTGTCTAAGCGATACTCATCATTCATCAGGGCACAAATCTTTTGATATCTAATATTTATCAATACTTAGTATTTTATATTACAATCTAGTGTGTTTCAGAGAACATTTTATCCCACCTATCTGTGAGAAACACTTACCTTTAGCGGAAGTTTGCTAAACGGAGCATCACCTCATGCGGCCAWAGACTGATCACAGGCTCAGTTCCTGAAGAGAAACAAGAAGCAGAAGTTCTTTTCTTCTTAGCTGCAAGTTCCTTTGAACRGGCTGTAGAGGAAAGGAAGCTGAGCATACTAAACATTCAGCCACAAATAAAGAGAAGAGAGGAGGCCTACCGTTCGCTCCTTTCCCTCCAATCCAACGCTGAACCTGTAGGAGTGAGACAGGTGAGCAGTAAAGCATGAGAAACACAATAATTATCTTCCACAGCTGGTTGGCTAACTGACATTTTATTCTCATGTCTTTTATAAGGCTGCATGTTCAAGGAAATTCTGTAGCACAACTTTTTGGTCCTGTTCCATGTCATTTAATATCAACAAATTATTCTGCTTTCGCTCCTTAGAACCAGTTGGGGGCATTTTCTGCATCAAAATAATAATACACTGTAGGATAAATTTGAGAAAAAATTAATAAAATTCCTGTTATTTCAGATTTTTCGTCAAAGAAAAACAAAACAGTCKAAGTGAAGTTATTGAAAAATCTCCCGCACGAAGACTTGAACCGTTGGGGTGCATGTGTTACCAGGTTATTTGTAGCAGCTTTGTTCTGGAACTGAGAAGTTCAGAAGTTGTTTTGGGTTGGTGGGGGAAACTTGTTTGAGTCATCCATCATAGCTGGGGAGACTTCCCTCCTCTGGTGGGACAGCTGTTTGGGCAGTGACACGAGTGTTCCAGCTGTGGCCCTTACATCTGCTGTAGTGTTGGTGTTGACAGGGGCATCTGTGGTTTCTGTGTGGAACAATTCATAGTGAAGCGCTGTCTGCTGCAGACAGGGTGAAAAAAACACAAACAGGCCTGGTCAGAGGACTGGAAGTGATGTTTTAGTTGGAAATAAGTTGATGATCAAACTTCATTTGTCAACTTGCTTCTGTGTCTAATAAAGAAAAATGAATCTGATCAAAGAATAAAAAATTCATTAAGGCCTTTTTACACAATTTTGAAAGTGATACTGTAGCATTTCTATACAACAGTAGCAATAATTTGACACCAAAATGTTGTTTACCATTAAAACTTGTTGATTGGTTCTTGTATAACTGTAATTTGTTATACAATTAATAAGTTCTCACTGATAAATCCAACATGTTTTACTAACTCCTTGTTTGTAATTTTTTAAAATTTATTTTAATGCAATTCTTTAATTTATTCATGGTTGCCACGATAGTCAACTAAATTCTAAAGAGTATCTTTTTCTGACTGTTTATAATCCAGTGCAATCTTAAATGTATTTACAATTAAAYGGGCTTATAAAATTCTTTGTTTCAGACAGACTAATTCTGCGACAAACAAGAGTGTTTTCTGTGCTGTAAAAGTGTCATACAAAATCATTTCAAAAGTTGTTTCTACTCACTAACAGAAAATATATTGTTTTGTAGATATATATTTCAAAACTAAAACACGTTGCTTAAAAAAAGCTTTATATTTTGTAATTGCACATGATTTAAAAGCTTGGCTGAGTTCATTTGTACAACACGGTCACTGTTTGATTTAGAACATTGCAACAAAAATAAACATGTGCCTTAAGGAAAAATGACAATGTGTAGAAATCTACACATATTTAACAGTTTTGTTAAAGTGAGAAAAGTTTTAATTCATCAAAGATGTTGGAAATTAAAGTCCCCTCTTCCATAGCTGGTAAGTTTGATATTCACAGGCAGTGGCAGCTGTGGATTTTTCTCCAGGGGTGGCTACAACTTCCAAACAGACATATCTCAAAAATTAAGCAAACATGTACTAAATTATATCACGCCAGTGAATTTATAGAAAAAAATGTATTTTAAACAACATAAACAGCAGTAGAATGTCATGTAATATTTTGCTTGTTGTACATAAATTTTGCCTTTCTGTAACTGAGAAGCAAATTTTTTCATGACTCTGGTTAAAGTCAGGGATGTTTTAACAAGTTTTTTCCTCCATACATGGTCAGTGCAGYGAGATGTGATGTTGTACCTGAGGAAAGTCTGGATTCTCTTCAGTGTTGAGAAGCTCCTCTCAGATTCAGCTGTGGTCAGAGGAGTTGTCAGTCTCGAGGTGTCCTGCAGGTTTTTCCCCATGAAGAGCTGGTACAGAGCCACAGCACCATTGCAGCTCCTGAACTCATCCAGGTTGTAAATGAAGCTCCAGCTTGGTCCTGCTCAGCACTGGGCAAGCCTCTGTGGTGGTCTTCAGGGCTGCTTCAGAAAACTGGCTTTGGTCCTGCAGGAATCTGTCTCCGCCCTGGATTGAACCGGATGAGCGAAATGAAAGTTTGTCAATAACGATAAAAGATTTATCTTGCATATCTAAAAACTTATATACATTTTTTCTAAAAACTTAATTTATTTTATTTTTATATTTTTTGTGTTTCAAAAAATAGTAGAGGGGCAGCGCCCTAGCGCCCTTTACTGACCAGCCACCACTTTTCACAGAATTTCTCTCAAACTGAGATTACAGGTAAGACACTGACGACTCATTCATATTCCTTTCAACCACATTTGAAAAGAACTAAACTACGTCCTGAATAAGAATAACTAAAACAGGTAGAAAGCTGAAAAACTGGATATTTCAAATTCAGAGTTTTATTACTTTGCAAGGTATGCTTCATCTGTTTTGCATGGCTACAATGCAAAAACAAATCCATTATATTTAGACAACAAAAATGTGCTAAACTCTTGAACACATTCATTTGAAATTTACAACAAAATAGAGAAAAGTTTGTTAGGTTGCAAATAAAAAGACCAAGCGAAGCTTAAGGTAGAAATTTGTAAAAAGAAAAAAAAGGTAATGTGGTATCAAAAAATTTTCACTGCCCTGTAATTATGTATTGCATGAAAAAAAGAAGTAAGACRGTTTCTTTGGGAGATAATAGGAACAAAACATTAATAACAACGCACACTTGATTTTACAAGTATGAAATAAAAGGACGGACATTGAGTAAAACATCACAGACACAAGATCYAATTTCTCTCTGCTGTCAAATCAAAATGATCTTTTCCGATTGTGTGCAGTGAAATGAACTAGAATTGTTCAAACTTCCTCAGTATCTAAACCACTTTCATCCCTTCATCTTAGCAGTCAATGTTTTTTTTTCAGTTAATAATACAAGTTGTAACAATATCTTAAGTATTTTAAGAGAAATGCTGAAGGGAACCTTGGCTAATGTTTTAATTTAAGTGTTCGTCAGTTTTCACCTGACATCAACCCCTCTAATTTAGAAATTATTCTTAATTCTTAATAATTTTGATATGGAAGCATATAATACCATCTATCTATCTATATCTATATATCTATATCTATA